GATAATAACAATAATGATTACGAATAAAAAGTACTGCTACTGCTACTGCTTCTGTTAGTGCTGCTGCTGCTACTACTACTACTACTACTACTACTACTACTACTATTACTACTACTACTACTACTACTACTACTACTACTACTATTACTACTACTACTACTACTACTACTACTACTACTCCTTCTTCTTGTTCTTGTTCTTGTTCTTGTTCTTGTTCTTGTTTTATTATTTATTTAAAAAGAAAAATAAAATAAAATAAAAGGTCACCTGTCCACAGCGATGGCCACTATGACGACACACGAGAAGGGCACGGTGGTCGTGATGAGGAAGTGATAGATCTTGCAGGCGGCGTCCACGGTCACCCTGTAGGGACAGCAGAATTGTTTACATTCATGTCACCATGGCAACGAACAACTTAACAACATACTGTAAAAGTAAAAACATGTTTTTTTAAAAATATATCGCCGAGTCAAAGCTATTTTTAAAAATGGCTTACGACTTCTCGGCTAGCAACATTTGAGACACATTTTAATGAGCACTTCATACGAGTCAGGACCACGGAGAAGCTATTTTAGGAAACGCAGTTATTATATATTTTCTTTTCTTTGGATGATCGATATAGTGACTTGATCCTACTTTATCCTACTTTTACCTTTTTTTTAACTTTACCTTTTCGTACACCATACTGTATCTTACATCATCTAATACCATCTTCTTTTTAGTCATCCTAGTTCACTTTATATCATCTTTTCATATTTTACCCCATCTTTGCTTTTCTATTTTGTTCTTGCCTTACCCCATCTCATTAAATCTCGTAATTTTACATTTTCTTTTTTCAAAATGTAGTTGCCTCCATTTTAGATCATTTAGTGTTTTAGTGCGTGTATACATCACGGGAAGCCGAAAAAGTCAAAGTCAACCTGGACTGAGAAGGATACAACATTCCCGCCGAAAGAAAGGGATATTCGATGAAAATTCTCCCCACTCGGGAATCGAACGCTAGTTTCCAGGTCTTGAGGGGGATCTCTCCCGTACTCAGTCTAGCCTTTACACCAGTTGCACCGGTTTTCCTTTTCTCTTGCGTCAACATATTTCCTTATCTAGCATAATCTTTTCTTGTCTGATCTTACCTTATTTTAACTGCTTGCATTAAGTCATTATGTTTTTATTTTTGTTTTGCAGTACGATGTCTTTTCTTTAGCTATATTGATTTCCAATCTTACAGCTTATAACATATTGTAAACAATCTTCCTTCTCCCATCTCATACTTTTTTTTATAGATTAATATTATTATCTTTTATAGTCGTATCGTATTTTATCTCATCTCATCTCATCTCATCTCATCTCATCTCATCTCATCTCATCTCATCTCAT